TATTTTCAAGTAGGAAAGAGAAAATGGAGATATAGTGCATAGGTGGAGGGATTTGCTCTGCGGGAGGATGGACAGCTCATCCATAGTAATATAAGGGGAGGTGAAGTATATTCACTCTGATTCTGGCAGGTGTGTAGATTTCACGTTGAGATTTTTGAAAATTCTCTTTTAATTGCTTCATTTTTCTCATCATAGTAGAAAGCAAGATTGACTACTGAGAATGGGGGTGAGGAACGAGTGTTGGAAATTAGAGGAGAAAATTTGAAATACTTGTTCTGGAGAGTGAAAGTAAAAATGGATTAGGGAAGAAAAAGATGGTTTCTGGGGTGAACCCTTGTGAAGTTTAGTGAGCATGAGTATAATGTGAAAAGAGTTGACATGCTTGTGTATTTTTCTCCAGCTATCTTCAGCTGCATGAGTTCAGGCATGGAGTAAGTGAAGGGTTGAATTTAGCCAGGGTTTTTATTTTGCTGGATTATATTGGGTTTCCAGACAACATACTGTGAGATCGAGATTTGTATGTAGGAGTTTACCGAGGGGTGTTTTCAGAAGCAACATCTATAAGGGATGGAGGGCAGGAGGAGTGAGCAGAGGAGGGGTTAAACAGAAGTGCAGTTGTAACAGGTCTCAGGCAATCCTACAGGGAGCTGTGGAGCTGGAGCAACCCTCTGATTTGTCCAAAATTGGAGCAAGGAGGCTTGGCATTTTTGCCCCTTTGTAGACATTTAGACATGGGATTCCTGTGGGCACGGAGGCTCCCAAGAAGTGAGGGTAATTCCTCAAGAGGGACTTGGCTGTGAGATGACAGAAATTAACACTACTAGTAGGTGCAGTAGTGAGTTTCTTAGTCCTGAAGGGAAGGTAATAGATGGCATGCCACAGAATCTGCTACAGTTCGCCATTTGCACTGCTTGCTTGTATACTAAGCTTACCCCTTCTAAGAAGACCTCCTCCCGCATTCTGATAAGTTTCCTTACCTAGAAAGTCTTACCTGAGGAAGGTTAGTGGGACTAATCCTGCCTCTATGACTGCTCTAGAGAGTGCCACTGATACTCCTCATTTGTGCTACCTCAGTGTATTAATCATTCTAGATTCTCCTCTTTCTTGGCTCGCACCTCTGCTTGCCTTGGTAGCTGACCTGGTGGTATGACCCAGATTCTTATATAAGAGGTGTCTGAGCCCCTGGTCTCCTGGCTACCCAACCATTTTCTAGACTTGACTTCTACATTTGTCCATTTACTCAAAATTAGGCATAGTCCACAATGGACCATAAGGCAAAACTGAAGATGGACACCTTGCATTAAGAATGGGAAACCAAAAAGATAGAAGGATTTGGGTCCCTGGTAGTCATGTTTTGAACCTTCAATCTCTGATTTTTTTTTTTTTTTAAAATGAGAGAAAAATGTACCCTTAGGTGTTTGACTATTATCAGGTCCCTATTAACAGCTAAATAAAATTCCCAACTAAAATAATAGTGTAGGATGAAAATCCCCCTAGCCCTCAAACTCTATATACCATACATCCAGTAAATATTTGGGCTCACCATGTGCCAGACATTGCTTTCCCTAGATTCTCCATTTCTGCTTAAGACACCATCATTCCCCATTCTCACCATCTGCTTAAGAACCCATGCGAGGTTTAGTGAGCAAGAGTGTAATGTGAGAACAGTTGACGTGCTTGTAAATTTTTGTCCAGCTATCTTCAGCTGCATGGGTTCAGGCATGAAGTAAGTGAAGAGATGTCTGAGCCCCTGATCTACTGAGAGCTACTGAGACCAAAAATCTTAGCATTCCCCTTAAATGCCTTCTCATCCTCATCTGCACATCCAGTTGGTTGTCAAAAGCTGTCTTTCTGCCTCAATAATACCTCTCGGCCTGGCGCGGTAACTCACGCCTGTAATCCCAGCACTTTGGAAGGCCGAGGCCAGTGTGTCACCTGAGGTTAGAAGTTTAAGACCAGGCCGGCCAACATGGTGGGACCCTGTCTTTACAAAAAAAGACAAAAATTAGCTGAGCATGGTAGTGGGCACCAGTAATCCCAGCTACTCAGAGGCTGAGGCAGGAGAATTGCTTGAACCTGGGAGGCAGAGGTTGCAGTGAGCCAAGATGGCACCATTGCACTCCAGCCTGGATGACAGAGTGAGACTCCATCTCAAAAAATAAATAAATAAATTGAAAAATAATAGTAATACCTCTCATTGCTGTCTTCTCCTCTCCATCACTGTTTGCATTTTCCTAGATTAGGTGTTCTCCCCACCTCTGCCAATCTTGGCTCTTCTAAAAGCTTTGTCTTTTTATGCTCATCCCCAGTGTTCCTACAAACTGCTACAAAAAATGGTCATAGTCAAAATAGTAATAATAATTCTTCTCAGAAGCCCTCAATAGCTTCCCATTATACACCATATGAAATCCAAATGCATTAGTGTTGCATTCAAGGCTTTAATCCAGCCACGCCACATATTTTTTTCATTTTAACTTATATTGGATTGGTTACTAATGATTTTCCGAAATATTTATTCCATTTTCCTGATGCTCTGTCCCTCAGCCCTCAACACACATGGCTTGTTTCTTTCTCATCATTTCCCTTTTAGTTCTTTCTTAGACTTATCACAATTTGTAAATGTATACACTATTTACTTATTTACATCTTGATTTTTTTTTTTTTTTTTTAAACGGAGTTTTGCTCTTGCTGCCCAGGCTGGAGTGCAATGGCATAATCTCAGCTCACTACAACTTCTGTCTCACGGGTTCAAGTGATTCTTCTGTCTCAGCCTCCCGAGTAGCTGGGATTACAGGCATGCACCACCTAGTTTTGTATTTTTAGTAGAGACGGTGTTTCTCTATGTTGGTCAGGCTGGTCGCAAACTCCCGACCTCAGGTGATCCACCTGCCTCGGCCTCCCAAAGTGCTGGGATTACAGGGGTGAGCCACCGCACCCGGCCTACATCTTGAATTTTTAAAATGTTTTCCATTAAACATCTAATTGCCAGAACGTAAACTCCCTGAGTGCAGGAACGTTGTCTTAGTCATGTCACAATTTCCAGCGCCCAAATGAGCGTCAGTGTAGGGGCTCGATGAATATTTGCTAATTGAATTAATGAATGTGATGGCACTGTAAAGACTATCTCAGCTTTGCGGAGTGGTTTTAACATTCAAGCTGGAGAACAGCATGGTTCTACTCAAGCTCCTGTGTTCCCTGCACGGGCTTCTGTGTCTCCCCTTAGCTCCAGGGGAGAGAGTCAAACTCACGGAAGGAGACAAAAGAAACTGCACCCGGGTAGCAGGGAGGCAAGCTGTCTACAGGGAAGGGTCCCTGTCCTCTGTGCCATGAGACCTGCCTGAGAAACAGCGCACTCCAATGGCAGGGAGGTAAGCTGTCTACAGGGAAGTGTCCCTGTTCTCTGTGTTGGGGGACCTTGTCTCTATGCAATCCCTTTGAGTCAAATGAATAAATGTCCTTCCTATTTTACACTTACCTTATGTGTGGTCATGAGGGTTACTTAGCCTTTCAAAGCCTGATTTCTCTTGGGCTTCGTCTAACTGCTGAAAACTTAGTTTGCTCTTGTAATATAAGTAAACACACTTGGGGCAGGGGGCTACATTTTATTCTTCCCTTAGGCAAAGCATAAAAGCAAACAAAACAACCACCATGCCTAAAGTCTCGAAAAAACTCATAGTTACCAGGAGGAAAATACGTCTGCAGAGATTTTATTTATTGAATAGTGGGCAAAGACGTATTTTATGCTACAAAGACCTTCCATAGGGAAACCATATCATGGCAGCTCAGCAGTGGGCTGCGTAAAGTGTTACAGGCATGGAGAGGCAACGCATTTACGTATCAGGCTCATGGATGCATCCTTTATTAATCCAAAGAATCAATGCTAGCCAGGCAGGCTTTGTATTAGAAGCTGGGCACACCATATTTCTTGGAGACTTAGAAAATTTCTATTGCCTTTTGATGTTTTGTGACATCATTTTTTTTCAAACCACAAATTGGGGTGTGTGTTTGTGTGTGCACGTGTGTGTGTGTGTGTCTAGGGAAATAAGCATTACAGTTCAAATGAGTATTTAATAATATTTATAATTTGTAATTTGATACATATAAATGGCACCCTAGAAATATCAAATGGACAACAAAAAAGATACTTTATTATTAATTTTAAAATATAAAATGCCCTTCCTTTACTATGCTGTCTATATCAGGCCCTCACCTGCTAAACCTGCTAATTCTCCCCTTCCCCCCTCCCCCCGATTTTTTGGCAGACCAAGAATCTTGCCTTCTCAGACTGTCAGAAAAGTAATCTATTTTTAAATTTCCAGAATTTCAGGTCTCCTGTCATTAAACATGACAGAGAGATTTAGGGAAAGATAAAGCATTGTTTGAAAAAGAAAGTCAGTTTTTAGTGTGACCTAAATGTATACGAGTCCAATGTTTAGACAGCATAGGAGGTTAAAGCTGGATTTTGAACATATTTTCAGAGTGTGCTTTGGCATGCAGCGTTTTTGAGAGAGGTGTTATGTAAGTTATCAAAAAGCATACATTTGGGGTAGGACTTTTATTTTATCCAGAAGCTAAAAATCATCGAATGTTGTGTTTTAATATGCAGATAACCCTTATTCTGATTTCGGTTTGGAAGCTTGATCAGGAAAGGTCTTTACTGTGGTGTTTAGGACGTCATGTTCTTTAGAAAGAAAGCTCTCTGTTTTTCTTTTCTCCAGAGGAACTGCAGTTTAGGACAGGCATAAAGCTGGGAACATAACCAAGGGCAGAAAAAAAATTCACCCCTATGTTCTATTTGTCAAACTGACCTGCAGGTCACAACCTGAAAGTTTATGGATCGGTGAGGCCTTGTCTCCGCATAAGCATGTTTTCTGGACTTTGGCTGAAGCTAAATTCCTGACTTCTGAAAGAGGGGTGGGTGTGGACTTCCAGCAGGAATAGCCAGTGGGAAGGAAGTAATATTCATTAAGAGTGTCTCATGCAAGCAGTGCGGGGCTAAGCATGCTCAGTGTAAATTCTCCTGGAGCCTGTCAAGCTATGTTTGAACTCGTTCCAGAATAGTGGATTTACTTTTTTTTCCCCACCAGGAAGAATACTCGAGTAGACTGTATTTTGCCTTGCTTTTCTTTTTTCCCTTTCTCTCTTTCTTTCTCTTTCTTTCTTTTCTTCTTTCTTTCTTTCTTTCTTTCTTTCTTTCTTTCTTTCTTTCTTTCTTTCTTTCTTTCTTTCTTTCTTTCTCTTTCTTTCTCTTTCTTTCCTTTCTTTTTCTTTCTTTTCTTCCTTTCCTTTTCTCTCTTTCCTTCTTTCTTTTTCTTCTTTCTTCTTTCTTCCCTTCCTTCCTTCTTTCTTTACATTTTTTTTCCTCCAGAAGAATGGAAACAATATTCATTTCTCATCAGTTCAGTAATACAATGCCCTTCAGTGTCCATATGAGCATTTCAGTGGAGAAGAAAAGAAACTTTGCTACCTGGGAACTGAAGACTACTTAGGTCAGTAAATGCTAATAAAGCTCTTAAAGACTTTCGGAGCTAGGAGTTAACTTTTCTTAACTGTTAAGGTAATCTACAGCTAATGTAATTGCCTTTTCAACTGGTGGGTGTACACTGATTTTTTTTTTCCCACCCAAAAACTATGTTTTTCATGTGTTGGAGTGATTTCCCAAACACAGGGAAAATATGTCTTTTGGTTAATTTGCATTTGAAAGAACCTCTTTTTGTATGAAAGATTCTTTCTCTCTACCACAAATTATGTGTTTTTTAAACAAATACTGTGGTGAGCTGATGTAGCCGTAATGGTCTGAATGTGGATGTGTTCTGTGTTATATTAATTCTTGGCTTGGGTAGGTTTGGTGAAAGTTATTGCTTTTGTTGCTGCCAGAGATGAAAGAGAGTTTGTTTTGTTGTGGATGTTGTTTTGGAACTTTTGGTGAGCTCTGAGGCTGCCTTGGGAGCCCCTTATAGAGAGGAGAGCCATCTCTTTCCATATTTAATGTGCATTTTTCGAAATATTCAACTTTAAGACAGGAGTACAGCTTTTTAAGAATCTGTGTAGGAATAGAGTTTTCTTTAAAATGTAGTCTTGGAGGGAAATGGTTTATAGAAAGGTTTGTAATGAAGAATTTAAATCAAGACCGCCATGGTGAATATAAGCAAAAGAATGCAAAAAAATACTGCATGCTATGTACGCACTGATTCAGTTTAGGTTAATAATTTTACTTTTTAATTTAAAAAAAGTATACCAGACCTTAAAGGGTTGTCTTATGATATCAACTGATAACACAGAGGACTCATTAGAGAGATGTTAGGATCTCAGAAAATATCAAGTAAGCAAAGGCGGCCCCTTTAAAACCATCTGAGGACTGAGGTTATGAAACCACATGGTTTCATGTAGGAGCAGTGCATCCTAGGCTAAAGCAGTTTAATTTTATTCAAGAATTTTAAGAGTAAAAGGGGATTTATTTCTTTTCAAAAAAGAACAGCCAGGCGAGGATTATTGATCAGTCAGGGATTAAATATTTGCTGGAATACAAAGCATCACATATTATCAATGTGTAAATCAGACTCGCCAGCTATTCAGGGGATGTAAATGAAACGACCATAGTTTCAGCCGGAATCAAATGCAGCAGCACCCCTGCCCTGCTTTCTTCATCTTTATGTCCCAGAAAGGGATGATAGAGGTGGGGCAGGGTGTGAAATGAGACTTAGCCGATGAGCTGACCTTGCTCTTTTAACTTCTGTCCATCTGTTCTTACCGGGCAGCTGAAGCAGTGAGCAGAGTGGGGTGGGACCTCAGGGGGGACCAGGAAGCAGAGGCCAGACCCAGCCAAGGCTGTGATCTGTTCCCCACCCTGAGAGTTAGATATCAGGAGGAGCTAAGTGGATGCATCTAAATCCACTTCCTTCTGCTCCCAGAGCTTTGATTTAGTACCAAATGCTGCTCTTCTGCACCTGCCTCTGTTTTTCATAAGTAAAAGCTTCTCCCCATGTGTAGACGGTGGTTTATTCGATACAGATCAATCCCTAAGGAGATAGCTGAAGTAATTTAGTCTTGTTTTGTTTTTTCTTTCTTCTCTGACATGTGGCATTGATGAGGTTTAATTGAAACAACAAACCTTTTCTGGGATGCGAGAGCACAGTTTTCCATGGGAGTGTGTGTGTGAACGTGTGTGTGTGCGTGTGTGCATGCGCAAGTCACTTGCAGTCTGGGCTCTGGGACGCTGCCTCTTGGAAGGCTTTGCAAGGCTGAGGGCATTTGTCTGGAGCCAGGGATCTTTTCATCACCTTGTCTCTGCGTTGGCAAAGAGGAGGTGCACATTCTGAGGCATGCTGTAATTCTTTACCCTGAGTCCTCGTTCCTAATACTGCACTCTCCCCACAACACCCCAACTGTTTCCCCTTCATGACCTGTGTCTTGAAGCATAGCACCAAAACCTTTTGAGGCACAAAAGAAAACCAAAGGGCATGCAAAGAAGCAGAGAATGAACAAAGACAGGCCTCTTCATGTTCACATCTGGATAACATTTAGATTGAGACAAGGGAAAATGAGTGGGAGAAAAAAATCTGACACCACATTAAAAAAATGCATATAATTGACTTTCTAGAGTTTTTCTCGTCTCAAGCTTTCTGGATGTTTTTGTCTCCTGCCCACACTCTACCCATAGTACTCCGGAGAAGGCAGGTATCACATCCATGTTTTTAGTGAAGTGCGGTGATTTGCCCAAAGCAGTGCCTAGGCAGGAGCAAGCATACAGATACCTGGAGCTCCAGTCCAAGCCTCTACTTACACAAGAATAGAAATAATCTGGGTTCCATTTTTGTATCTTGAACTCAGTTTCCCCATTCATTTTAAGGTTTTGGACAAAGACGTTCCGTGCGGTAAATTCTCAAACTGAATCCATTACTGTAATAATTTGAGAAGTATTTGAAGCTTTTCAGGAGACTTTGACATATTTCCTTTGATCTTATCTTCAACATTACCTATGAAAATAGATTGGGCCAGTGTTGCCATTTTCTTTTGACAAACGATGAAACTGAAAGATTGAATGACTTGCTGCCTAAGGTCAGGATAGAGGCTACATGGGAATTCGGATTGCCCAACTCGGGATTTGAAATTCTAGACTATCCTGAATCCCTGGGTTACTGAGGTAGAGAGGATATAAAAGAGGAGTTCCGTGATTCATGAAGGTGGAAAGTGTGGCAGCACCAGGGGCTTTGGATATTGTCCCGCTATGAAGGAGAAAACTCTGGCTGGAGAAGGTATGTTACTGCACCCACTGTCACACTAAGGAGTTGGACTTGAATTTAAATCCTATCCGTAGAATCCCCAAGTGTGTGTTCCATGGTATTTTGCTAAATTCCTCTGTGTCTCTTTTTCATCATGTGTAGAATGGGGATACCAAGGGGTTGCTATGAGGATTATATGAGACGATGCATGTAAATTACTTAGCACGGTGCCTCACACAGCAGACTAAACCCTAAAATGTTTTGATTGGCATGTGCTCTTATTTGTTGCTTGTGTTGTATCACCCAAAGTAAGCATGAACTATTCTTACTGTGAATCCCAGTCAGCTCTTAGCTCAACCCACAGATCCTCGGGGCACTTGTGTTGGTAAATGAACACCACAAGATGAGTAGTGCTTAAGGCATATTTATTGAAAATACAAAAATGTGCTAAATGGCACAGAGAGTTAACTGAGGCAGAACACTTATTCTTCTTGCTCTTAGTCCGCGGAGAGACCAGAGGGAGGCTATCCAGGCAGATGTGTCCAAGATAAGCGCACATTTGTTGAGTCAAATCTAGTTATCTTTGGTGACTTTCCAATGCGGCTAAGCAGGCTTCTCGGAAGTGAGGAATCTCTCTGAAGGGAAAGAAGTCAATTACAGGCTCGTAGGTTCAGTGGGAGTCAAAAAAGAAGTAAAGGCACATGTGCAGACAGGCTTTAGAACTGTCAAGATTTCAGGTTTTGCTGGGGGCCTTCTGACCAGTGCTGACCGGGCTCTTGAGGTGCACTAAGTGTCTGGGCCCCGATGTGCCTGGCATTATGTTAGAGAAATCCCTTTACACATAGCATTACGTTAGAGAAATCCCTTTAGAGAGATAAATCTCAAGGACCTGCTTCTGACCAAATCAGTGATCCTTAACGGACTGCTCTCTGTAGAGAACCGGGAACTGTAAGTGCACAGTCACAGGGCTGCGAGACCAGACAGAAGGAGGGGCCACTCCCTCAGAGCACGTGCAGTCTAAATGAATAAATGGTACACAGAAGTGCATGGAGCACTCACATGCAGACCAGTAAAACAAGTCTGTTGGTGCAGAAGTGTGAGGCAGACTTCAGGGACAGCAGTTGATGGTTAAATATTCTAAGTGTCTATTCTTAATTTTTTTTTTTTTTTTGAGAAGATGTCTTGCTCTGTTACCCAGGCTGGAATGCAGTAGTGTGATCTTGGCTCACTGCGACCTCTGCCTCCTGGGTTTGAGCGAGTCTCCTGCCTCAGCCTCCCAAGTAGCTGGGACCACAGGCATGCACCACCATACCTGGCTAATTTTTGTAATTTTGGTAGAGGCAGGGTTTTGCCATGTTGGCCAGGCTGGTCTCAAACTCCTGACCTCAGGTGATCTGTTTGCGTCAGCCTCCAAAAGTGCTGGGATTACAGGTGTGAGTCAGCTCCCTTGGCCTAAAATTCTTAAATTCTTTACCACTCAGTACAGAGTTCCCTTTCAGATGCCTCTTCATGGCCTTCACCCACTTGTCCCTGCTGGGAATGAAAAGCTACTCGGGGGATACGGCAGGGAGATGGCAATGAGTTTTGGTTTATTGGTCTATTACACACCGGATGCTAGGTTTCATGCTTTATCAGTACTGTATTTAAAGTTCACAATACCCCTGGGAAGTTTAAAGAGGAGGAAACCTATCCCCATAGGGGAAGAATATATGGCCCCCAGGCAAAGAGGTGAATCACATGATTCACCAGCTGAGCATAGGATGTCATGTGTCACACAAGGCCTTCAAGAAACATGCTAGGTGGAAAGGACTGCTGCTGTCCTATAGACTACGTTCCTTTCATGGGCGATGCCTATGTCTTGCCTCATTTTGGGTCTATTAACATGTGTTGTCCAGAGTTGAGCAAGTCACGTCCCATGAAGTTAGTGCTTGGTGAAGTCTATGTACTGCCTGCGTTTAGGGAACCGTTCCTCTTCAACAGCAAGCTCAAACCACATTTCTTTTTTGTTTGTTTTTTCACAAATAGGTCCTTAAAAGTTTTGCAGTTTCAGAAGTAAAGAGCTTAGTAATCATTAAGTAGTATTGTATGATGAAAAACACATGGGATTTGCAGTGATATGACTGGGTTTTGGGTCCTGAACCTGGAAAATTTGTTAACTTTGGGTAAATGATTTCACATCACTGTGCCTCAGTTTCCACATCTGAAATTGTCAATGGGAATTTTCTCAGGTGAGATGCTCAGATCTGCTATTCAACATTGTACCTATA